GCTGGCGGGGGGGGGTGCGCCGGCGCCCCCCCGCCCTGCCCCGCGGCTGCGCCGGCGCGGGGGGCGCAAGCCCCGAGAGAGGGGAGGGCGAGCCCGCGGGGTCGGGAGATGCCCAGCAGGCGGGACTGAGCCGGGAAACGCGCCCCGGCGGGGGACATCTGGCAGCGGGGTGGGTTTCTGCCGCCTGTGCTTCAGTGAGGCCGCCCGAGACCTGGTTTCTGTGGTGACATTGTCTCATGCAATGAATGCAAACGTTATTTTAGGCTAAACGTCCCCGGCCAGGCTGGAGAGGGCGTACCTCGCCCTGAGACACAGGGCACCCACCTTACCTCCGCGCTGCAAGCGGGGCGGCCGGGAGGGAGACTCGGTAACGGGCTGACCGTGGCCGCTCTGTGCTGGTCCTTAGACAAATCCTGCATTTATCGGCGGTGCGGTTATGCAAGCGGCACAGTTACATAATTGGACTCTAAAAATACAGGGAAAAGCACCGTACACGTGTTACTGTACCTTAACGCGTCTGCAGTCGGTAGAAGGCAGTGCGGAAAGGTAAGCAACTGTTGCAGGCGCAGGTAGGAGCCAGAGTAAGGAATTACTCTCCCCTGTTTCGACGTGTTTCCTTTTTGTTTGTTTTCAGATGGTCTTAAACATCTGATAGCTCTGGGTTTTCAGATGTCTGTATTACACGGTGATACCCAGATATATATGTATGGTCATACGGTATAAACCAAGGTCCAGTGGAATTACGATACTCTCCCCAAAGATTTTTATAAAAACCTTCAATAGTGAATCATTACAACATGCAAAATTTTCTGAACAAGGAGGTAGTCAGAAAAATGGTTTTAAAAATCGGCACCAAAAAAGTAGTAAAAAGGTGTTGCTGAAAGTGATTTCCCATGCTTTTTTCATTACAGTAAAAATACTGATTTTACGGAACTGTCAAAAGTAGGGCAGGCTGGTGACACGGCTTATAATCTTTATAAAAATTACGCAGGAGTCCTGCTAGGAAAATAAACACAACTGAACAGTGCTGAAAAGCCAAGGGGAGGAGTAAAATATTAAACTGAGACACCTATTTTTCAGATAACGGGCGTAATGTGCTCTGATGCCCATGTGTTTTAGAGGGCGAGCGGGTAGGTGTGCAGGGACATACCAACCAGACGCTCCGTGAGGAGTGACTGACAGAGGGCTCTGCGTGACCCGCCATCGGCTGGCCTCGGCCGCACCGGCAGCGAGCAGGGCCCCACTCACTGTGGGCTCTGCGGTGTGCGATTTAGGGAGAGGAAAGGCTCTTTGGGGTTAAACAAAACCTGCTCAGCCTCTGGTAGAGGTCAGGATTCTAATGGGGCTGCTCTGTACTAGAGAGGCCGCCCTGAAGAAGAGACGGGCCGGATGCGGGACCATGGGCTGCATCACTGTAGGTGCACCTGGTGGTGAGGGGGCTGTTAGAAGATACCTCCTGCCCTGCCCTGCTCCCACCGCACCGCACCGCACCGCACCACACCACACCACGCCACACCACGTGCAGGCACTCCTCAGCAGGGCTCTGGTGATCGTTTCTCCCAGTCCCTAAGTGATGCTTCCATTTACAGTGGTGAGTGCCATTTCAGGGCCTAGGGAAGAGGACCGAAGTGACCCTGATCTTTAGCCTCCCTCGTCAAGGTTAGATAAGGAGAGGTGGTTGACTGGGAGCAATCTGGTTTTAGACCTGCGCTAAAGAGCCTGCTGGAAAGCCACCAGCAGCTGTTGCAACAGATGGTGTCTAAACAACAACAGCATCCGCCGCCGACTGGGAACTGCAGCGGGGCTCGTTCGACACGTTCTGACTTTCCTACAACCTCCAGACTTTCAGAGGTGTGGGAGGCGTTCAGCCCTCTTGCTGCAGGGAGTACTGGGGTGTCACCTGGCTTCCTGGGAGAAACACCCACGGGGGCTGTGCTTCCACGGGAGGCAGCCCAGGTGGGGAGGGGCACGTGGGCTTTGCTTGTGGTTCACGACTGACACAGTCCCGGTGGCCAGTGGCCTGTCTGGGTATTGGTGGGGATAGGCACTAATGCTGCAGAGAAGATACATGCCTGGGAATTTCTCCCTACTATTGATGTCTTCCTGTAATATTTTAAGATGTCTTAAAATAATATTTAGGGGGATGGGGGCTTTCTGTTGTTAAAGGAGCAGCCGCTGCCCGAGCATTCGCACACCATGCAGGGAGTGGCACACACACCAGCCCAGACTTTAGCTGCTAGGACCGGAGTCCCTTTGCAGCGGGCAGCTCCACTGAGCTGGCGGGTGCCCCTTTCCGACTCCTCGCTCACACACGTGCCCACCCTCGGGTGCTTTCTCTCCCCTCAGGCTCGACCCTAGGTTTCCCCGAAGCAGAGTCTCCAACACGACGTACGCCAGGTGACTTTATTGAGCGGTACAGCGGTGAAGAGCAGCTCGAGCTGGGCGCCTCCGGGGAGGGACCCCGAAAAAAGAAATCCCTGGGCAATTATACCCTTACAGCCTAAGTTCCCCTCCCCTCATGCGACGATCTCATCTCATCTCATCTCATCTCATCTCATCTCATCTCATCTCATCTCATCTCATCTCATCTCATCTCATCTCATCTCATCTCATCTCATCTCATCTCATCTCATCTCATCTCATCTCATCTCATCTCATCTCATCTCATCTCATCTCATCTCATCTCATCTCATCTCATCTCATCTCATCTCATCTCATCTCATCTCATCTCATCTCATCTCATCTCATCTCATCTCATCTCATCTCATCTCATCTCATCTCATCTCATCTCATCTCATCTCATCTCATCTCATCTCATCTCATCTCATCTCATCTCATCTCATCTCATCTCATCTCATCTCATCTCATCTCATCTCATCTCATCTCATCTCATCTCATCTCATCTCATCTCATCTCATCTCATCTCATCTCATCTCATCTCATCTCATCTCATCTCATCTCATCTCATCTCATCTCATCTCATCTCATCTCATCTCATCTCATCTCATCTCATCTCATCTCATCTCATCTCATCTCATCTCATCTCATCTCATCTCATCTCATCTCATCTCATCTCATCTCATCTCATCTCATCTCATCTCATCTCATCTCATCTCATCTCATCTCATCTCATCTCATCTCATCTCATCTCATCTCATCTCATCTCATCTCATCTCATCTCATCTCATCTCATCTCATCTCATCTCATCTCATCTCATCTCATCTCATCTCATCTCATCTCATCTCATCTCATCTCATCTCATCTCATCTCATCTCATCTCATCTCATCTCATCTCATCTCATCTCATCTCATCTCATCTCATCTCATCTCATCTCATCTCATCTCATCTCATCTCATCTCATCTCATCTCATCTCATCTCATCTCATCTCATCTCATCTCATCTCATCTCATCTCATCTCATCTCATCTCATCTCATCTCATCTCATCTCATCTCATCTCATCTCATCTCATCTCATCTCATCTCATCTCATCTCATCTCATCTCATCTCATCTCATCTCATCTCATCTCATCTCATCTCATCTCATCTCATCTCATCTCATCTCATCTCATCTCATCTCATCTCATCTCATCTCATCTCATCTCATCTCATCTCATCTCATCTCATCTCATCTCATCTCATCTCATCTCATCTCATCTCATCTCATCTCATCTCATCTCATCTCATCTCATCTCATCTCATCTCATCTCATCTCATCTCATCTCATCTCATCTCATCTCATCTCATCTCATCTCATCTCATCTCATCTCATCTCATCTCATCTCATCTCATCTCATCTCATCTCATCTCATCTCATCTCATCTCATCTCATCTCATCTCATCTCATCTCATCTCATCTCATCTCATCTCATCTCATCTCATCTCATCTCATCTCATCTCATCTCATCTCATCTCATCTCATCTCATCTCATCTCATCTCATCTCATCTCATCTCATCTCATCTCATCTCATCTCATCTCATCTCATCTCATCTCATCTCATCTCATCTCATCTCATCTCATCTCATCTCATCTCATCTCATCTCATCTCATCTCATCTCATCTCATCTCATCTCATCTCATCTCATCTCATCTCATCTCATCTCATCTCATCTCATCTCATCTCATCTCATCTCATCTCATCTCATCTCATCTCATCTCATCTCATCTCATCTCATCTCATCTCATCTCATCTCATCTCATCTCATCTCATCTCATCTCATCTCATCTCATCTCATCTCATCTCATCTCATCTCATCTCATCTCATCTCATCTCATCTCATCTCATCTCATCTCATCTCATCTCATCTCATCTCATCTCATCTCATCTCATCTCATCTCATCTCATCTCATCTCATCTC